ATAAATAAAATCAATAGATAATATTTTTAAAAAGTAATAAATAAATAGCATCTCATGAAATACAAAGATAACATTATCATATAATATCATAGAAATTAATACTAGCAAATATGATATAATTTTAAATTTTGGTATTAAACTCTAGACATGTTTAACATGTCACTAGTTAAAGGAGGCTGCTTATTTGTCATAATGACGTTGTTTGAACAAAGAAACCACTGGTTTAAATCTGCTATTGAAAAATGTATGTGTGATGAACCTCATCCAAAGGAAGAACTAATCTTAAGTGATAACCTAGATGATATGGTTCATCAACTAGAAAAACTGCTCAGTAGAGAAATCAAAATTAAATGGGTTTTTACTCTAGAAAAGTAGCTTAAAGACAAAATAACACCCAGAGGTTTAAGGTTCACTAAATTTCCCACTTTTGATCTTGATAATGCAAGATTTATGGGAATTTGGACTGCTGCCCTTGAGTCTTTCTCAATCACCATGATTAACATTATTCTTACTCAGAGAAAGGAAGACTTACAAGAATTAGATGTAACAATGAAAAAGTTACAAACACAATTAGAACCTTTTGTAGGTACAAAAGACTTCGATATGTTATCTAAAAGAGTAGAAAATAACCTGGACAAATTAGAAAACTCTATAATTGGAAAAAAGACTAAGAAATATAAGGGAGACATGGGTGATTATTCCAATAATAAAGTGAGAAAGATACCAGGAAAGAAAACGAGTGACTACAGCAAAACAAGACCCCTATATAAATCAAGCAATGAAAGACACAAGGAAAATAGATACGGTAATAGGAAAAGAGCCAATTCCAATTGTAACTATGTATCTAGAACCCCCGTTTAAATTCAGACCAAGAAGGGAACCCACCAGGCAAATCAATAGTCTCAGGGATAGATTCGATTTTATCTACTTTATCAGAGTTTATTGACTATTTTCTCTAACCACTAGTAAAACTATGCCCTTCCTACCTTAAAGATTCCATGAGCCTTTTAAACATTTTAGAAAAACAGAAATGGGAAGAGGATAATTTATTAATTACGTGTGATGTCACGAGTTTGTACATGATAATAGAACATTCGAAAGGAGTAGACACAGTTACCCTTTTCTTAGAACAATACAAAGATTGTTTAGATGTACAGATTGATTTTATCATCAAAGGAATACAAATTATTTTAACCAATAATTATTTGTGGTTTGATGGCGATTTTTAACTTCAGACTCGAGGTAATGCGATGGGGACTAGGTTTACCCCCAGTTATGCCAGTTTATTTATGTCCCATTGGGAACGATTATTTATTTATCATGGACATGACTGGGGAGCAAACCTGGCCCTATATAGGCGATACATAGATTACATTTTTATTGTCTGGAAAGGATCCGAAGCAGAATTTTAATTTATTTTTTTAACTATCTTAATTTGAATAATTGGGGCATTAAATTAACAAAAAATATTAGCCCGATTACAATTGACTTCTTAGATCTTAATATTTTTATTTCTGACCAGCAATTTAAAACTCAAACTTTTTTTAAACACGTGGACGTGAACAGTTTTATCGAAACAAGTAGCTGTCACCATGACCCATGGCTCCAGAATATCCCTAAGCGTCAATTTTTATGAGTTAAAAGAAATTGTTCGCATCAAACAGATTTTATTACCCAGTCGTCATTTAAAAAAAAACATTTTTACGAAAAGGGTATTGTGAAGATAATCTTCAAAAAGACATTGATAATATTAAGGACCTAGACAGATCACAATTATTAAATTACAAAATGAAGGATCAAAATAATCAAGCGAAACAGATTCCACTTATTTTTTATTTACTGTAGTAATATTGATACATTAAAAAGAATTGTAAATACTTTTTTAAAACAAGATCACGAAATGTATGATTTTATAGGTGATAACCCTAAATTTATTTTTAGAGGGGCAAAAAAATTTAATGTCAAACTATGTAGAAAAGGAAAAAGAAAATGACAATTTCCTAACTAACTGGTCAAAGATGCAAAAAGGTTTTCATCATTGTGGCAACTGCTATGCCTGTAAAAATACCTATATAACCAAGAAAAAGAAAGAGAATTTTATATCAGAAACAACTAAAAGGGATTTTAACATTACCTCTTTTATTACATGTGAATCTAGCAATGTAATTTATTTATTACAATGTACATGTGGTTTACAGTATATAGAAAAGACTTCTAGACCACTAAAAACAAGAATACACGAGCATATTAGGAATATTAAAATTGGGTTCACAAACCACAGTGTGTCAAATCACTTTTTAGAGATACATAATTCAAACCCAAGAGAAATGGAGTTTATAGCAATTGAAAAAGTCCAAACCCACTGGAGAGGTGGAAATAATGTTTTTAATTCGAGTAAAAAAGAATCAAACTGGAAATTTGACCTCCAAACTTTATGCCCTAAAGGGCTAAATAGAGATTTCGAAATAGGTCCATTATTATAATTTATTTAGTTTGCAATGTCTAGAGTTTAATACCAATTTTTAAAAAAATATATCATATTTGCTATGTATTCATTTCTATGATATTATATGATAATGTTATCTTTGTATTCCATAAGATGCTATTTATTTATTACTTTTTAAATATGTTATCTATTGATTTTACCTATACTATTGCCCTTATTCTTTCCCTTCTCTAAAATGGTGATGAAATTAACATTGTTCCCATGTGGAACCTCTTGATCCTGCCTCTCCCTTGTGGAGAATGGATGATTGACATTTGTAAATACACACGTCGATGCCTGCCAAAACCACGTGACCGCCGACTGACGAAATCAGAAGTGATGTTTCTTTTCAATTAGCCGCGATATGGTATGAATACGTGGCCATCTTGGGAAGGGCAAACATACCTCCATAGAGAACACAAGGACGGCAGACATGTTAGAGGAGGCAGAAGTACATAAGAAACGGCCGGACACTCCATATATGGAGAAGAGGACGGCCGACGAACACACAGCTGTTAATGTTTGTAATTGAATGTTATTATGTATGCTATATAAGAAAGTTTACACATATATCACTAGATATGCACCTGAGGAAGACCTATTGCACTAGGTCGAAACGCGTTGTGCCTTTTTAAATTTATTTTACATTTGTCTAAATAAAAGAATCTAGGGATCATTTACTTAATGCAAGAATATCATCCAATGTGTGCGCAATCACCTTATCTCCATTTTTTTTTTTTTATAAATTCTTTATTTTCGGTTTTGCATAAGTATTGTTACTAACAATTAGACAACATGTTGGTACATCGTTTACAGTAGTTCTCGTAACAATTTCGCTTCATTGTCCGTGGATTTAGTAGTGCGGGCTACTAGTTGAGTGCGGCTCTGGGTGTATCTCGTGTCCAACATGTATGTCCCTTTTCGTTGTTTTGTGTTAGGTAGGGGTAAACTGGGGTGTGAGGTCAATGGGACTGTCGGGTGGGAAAGGAGGGGGGTGTGTAGTTGGTTCTCCTGCTCTTTGGCCTCCTCTTCGTTGGTGGTTGCGTGTACATATCCAGTTGGGTTCGGGAGGGGGCTCGGCTGAGCCGTGGAGGGGGGGGATGGTTTCAGTGGTGGGTATAGGGTACCTAAGATAGGCTTCGCTGTCGTTGGTAGTGTGGGAGTCGGGGGACGAGGTGGTTCCTCTGTGCGTGCTCGCCCTATCTGTGTCAGTATATTGTCAGTTGGCCGGGGTTGGTGATGGGGGCCGAGCGTTCTTGGTGTGGCGTCCTATCCTCGGTTGGGTTGGTGTCGTTCTGTGGGGCCGCTTAAGTCAGTGTCGTGTTAGGCTTATGGACTTGTCTCTAAGCTGGTTTTCGTTTCAGGAAAGTGGTGCCTCTTTGGTCCGTTCGGTCCACGAGGCTGTGTTGGTCCGAGGGTTAGGGTCAGGGGGTTGGTGTGTTTTAGGTGTCGTCGTACTCCCCCCGCTGCCGGTCACTCCTCCTCCTCCGGCGTCTAGGGGGGTTCGGGTCAGGAGGTCTCATGTCTTGTCTTGTCTCGTCTCCCCCCGGGCGTCCCCCCGCGCCCCCCGGCTCCCCCGCTGGGCGGGGGTTTGTAGTGAGGTAGGGTGTTGGGGGACTGGCGGCACTGGTAGGGGGGGGTATAGGGAGGTGCGGGTGTCTCTCAGTTAAGCTGGGGCATGCTTCCCTAACGGGTCTACAGGTTGTTGGGGTGAAGGGACGTGCGATGACTGTCGCTAAAGGGTGTGGTTAGGTCGCTTCGGGTGTGGGTTGTGGCAGGTGATTCATGTCCCAGAGGTCCCAGGTTTTATGAAACGCTTTGTAGGAGTCGTGTATCTGAGCGGTTAGTTCGTCCAGATCTCTGGTTTCTTTGATCTTGTTGATGATGGTGGGGGTTGTAGGGGTGCGGTGGTCTGCCCATCTCTCCGCAATTGCCCTACGAGTTGCCAATGTTATTCTGGCGGCTAGTTTGTTTTCGCTTCTTGTAAGGGAGTCTAGTGGTTTGTTAAGTAGCATCGTCCACGGTTGCGCTGTGTAGGGCTTGTCAAGGATCTGTGCTATGAGGTTGCTAATTTCAGTCCATAGTGGTTTGATTTTAGGACAATTCCACCAACAGTGCAAGTAGGTGCCTTTTTCGCCGCACAGTCTCCAGCATAAGTTGTCGGGTTTCTGGCCCATTCTGTGGAGCCTGTGCGGCGTCAAGTACCAGCGGAACAGTGTTTTGTACGCCTGTTCTTTGTGAGTTATACACACCGTCAGGGAGTTTGTTGCTTCCCAGATTGCTGTCCAGTCGCTCGAGTCTTCTGGCGGCCCAAGGTCCCGCTCCCAGGCCGTGATGTAGGTGAGGGTAACGTTGGAGATGTGCGTCGTTAGTGTGGTGTATAATCCTGAGATTTGTCCCGAACCTAGTGGTGCGTCGAAGCACCTCTTCTCAAATGGCGTTTGGGGTGCCGTCCCCGCTTGTTTGATCATTGGCTGCTTGGCTAGGTCCCTAAGCTGTATGTAGCGAAAGTAGTCTGCGGTGGTTAGTGTTTCGCTATTTGGGAGGTCCTTGTAGTCAATGATCTCACCTTGATGGTATAGGTGGAGTAGTCTGGATATGTCTCTTTGGTCAAATGCTTGGAAGTGTTTTGCTACCAGTCCAGGGGGGAAGAGTTTATTTCGGTAGATAGGCGTCACCGGAGATATGAAGGAGGATAGTTCGTATTTGGGATTGAGTTTGTCCCATAGAGCCAGCGTGTGGGTGATTGCCGGTGAGGTGGTTGGAGGGAGGGGCCGATGTGCCGGAGGCACCCACATGTAGGACGATGGCTGGTCCCATCCCATGATGTCGTGTTCCAGGTCTACCCATCGTTTGGCACTCGGGGGGGCGTGCCATTGTTGTATGTGGGCCAGTTGGGCTGCGTTGTAGTATTGCTGGAAGTTGGGTAGTCCCAGGCCTCCGCTGGTCTTGGGGACGTACATAGTTGCCCTGCGGATGCGTGGTTTTTTACCCTTCCATATGAATTTGTCAATGGCGGCCTGGAGATCACAGAAATCTTTTTTCCGTATGGGGATGGGTAACGTTTGAAAAAGATATAGGAAGCGTGGCAGCAAGTTCATCTTGACGGTTGTAACTCTACCCAGCCACGAGATCCCTAACTTGTCCCAGCGCTGGAGGTCCTGGTGAGCTGTTGTCAGCAATGGTTTGTAGTTGAGGTCGTACGTGTCATCCAATTTTTGGGGCAATCTGGTGCCCAAGTAGGTGAGGTGTGTCGTGGTGACTTTGAATGGAAACGAGTGCCGCAAGAGGTGGAGTTGTTGTGCGTTCATTGCCACGGGCATGAGGATGGACTTTGTCAGATTGAGTTTGTACCCTGAGAAGTTGGAGTACTCGGATATCACCTCCAAAGTGGCGTGTAAGGATGGGAGCGGGTCCGCTAAGGTTAGGAGGACGTCGTCCGCATACTCTTCCCGTCTGATGCGGATGCCTCTGATCTCTGGGTGATTGCGTATGGCCTGCAGGAGTGGTTCTAGCGAGATTGCAAATATTAGGGGGGACAGGGGGCAGCCCTGTCTAGTTCCATTCGTGATGGTAAAGGTTTGGGCTTCGATGTTGGGTAGGAGCAGTCTGCCCGTAGGACGGTTGTAAATTGCCGCCAAAGCATTCAGAAATCCAGTCGGGAATTCCAGGTGGGATAGGATGTGGAACATGTATGGCCAGAGAAGGCGGTCGAATGCCTTCTCGGCATCCAGCGAAAGCATTACTGCCGGAATGTTCCGGTGTTGGGTATACCAGATTGTGTTAAAGGCTCTCCGTGTATTATCCGATGCCTGTCGTTTTGGGATGAACCCGACCTGGTCTGGGTGGATCAGCTGGGGGAGGTAGTCATTGAGGCGGTTGGCCAGTGCTTTTGTGAGGATTTTCAAATCCGTATTCAGAAGTGAAATGGGCCGATAGTGGCCTGGTTCCAGGTGGTCCTTGCCTGGTTTAGGCAGGAGGCATATGTCGGCTGCGAGCATGTCCGGGGGGAGAAGTTGTCCCTGGAGTATGGAGTTGAAAGTTTTGCACAGGTGCGGTAGGAGTGTCGCCTGGAACGTTTTGTAGTAGAGGGCGGTAAAACCGTCGGGTCCTGGACTCTTCATTGGTTTTAGCGTTTTGAGCACTAGTGCAAGTTCTTCGCCCTCTATGGGTGACTCAAGCCGTGCTTGTGCCTGTGCGGGTAACATGGGCAGATTAAGTGATTGTAGGAAGGAGGAGATTCTGTCCTTTTGGGACGTGTCCCCTGTTGGCGGCGGTGGGTCGGAGTGGTTGTAGAGGTTTGTATAATATTGTAGGAATTCCTGGGCTATTATGTCCGGGTTGTTCGTGATCTCCCCTCTGCTGGTTTTGATCTTGGTAATTCTTTTGTTGTCCTGTCGTTTTTTAAGGCAGTGTGCCAGGAGGGAGTCCGCCTTGTTCCCTTTTTCGTAAAAGCGTTGTTTAGTCCACATGAGGTTCCGCGCTACATCCGCCGTGGAGAGTCGCCGAAGATGTTCTCGTGTGGCGGCGAGCTGCTTGAGTAGGTCGTCTGAGGGGTTCTGCTTGTGTAGCTTTTCCAGTTTCGTTAGGTCAGCTAGCGCTTCCGTGAGGTCTTGGAGACGGCGTTTCTTCTGGGCTGTGGCGATTGCGATCAGTTGGCCTCGGATGGTCACTTTGTGAGCTGCCCACACCGTCGCCGGGGCCATGTCCTCCGTGGCATTTATGTCGAAATAGGTTTTGAGGTGGTCGGTTATAGCGTGTACCGTTCCTTTGTCTCGGAGGATCCATGGGTTGAGGCGCCAACGCCATGGACGGGAGAGCCGCGGGATCCTGAGGTCCAGTGTGATTTCCGCATGGTCCGACCACGTGATGTTGCCGATGGACGAGCGGATCGTCCAGGGGTGGAGTGCTTGGGAGATTAAGAAGCTGTCTATGCGCGAGTATGACCGGTGCGTGTGGGAGTAGTAGGTGAAGTCTTGGTCTGCTGGGTGTTGGGCCCTCCAGATGTCCAGAAGTGTCGTCCCCCCGAGGAAGGTTGCGTATAGCTTATCATTCCTGTTTGGTGCTGGCGCCCTGTCCCCGTAGGCTCTCCGATCCATGGTGGGTGAGTGTGTCGCGTTTAGGTCTATATTTAGGTATTGGTTAGAGACGCCGTCGAGGTGGGCCTTGAAGGTGTTCCAGAAATTGGTGTCAGGTATCGTTGGCGCATAGAGGGAGCAGATTGTGAGTGGGGTTGTGCCCACGTGTCCCGTGAGGATCAGGTATCTCCCGTCGGGGTCTTGAATTGTGCGTATGTCTTCGAGTGGGCAGGAGTTGCGTAGGAGGATTGCCACTCCTTTTTTCTTTGGGTCCGGGGAGTTGGCTAGGAAGTGTCGTTTAAAGTGCCTATTGGTCAAGGGAAAGCTTTTCTGGTCTGTGAAGTGGGTTTCTTGGAGCAGGATTATATCCGCCCCTGTGCGGTTGGCCCAGCGGAGTAGCCCATGTCTCTTCCCTGGAGAGTTCAACCCCTTCACGTTGAGGGAGGTTAAGCGAGTTTTCACATGCGGTGGGTTCATGGCGTGCCTGACCCTGGGGGGTGGGGGTAGATTGTACTTGGTATTGGGCGGGTGGGTGGGTGGAAGGTCCCCCGGGCAGAGGGACCCGGGGTGCGCGGGCGCGGCGGGCCGGGGGGACAGTCACGGAGGGTGTGGTGGGGAATAACTGGGCTTATCGATCTGGCCAGTCGTCTGGTCGGCGGGAGGGCTCGGTCTCCTATCCTTGTAGTGGGATTGGAAGTCACAAGTCCCTAGGGAGGTGGGTGGCAGGTCGTGGCAGGTCCTGCCTTCAGCCTGCCTGTTCCGCGGTTATGTTGGCTGAGCACCCGATGGGGGGGGCAGGGAGAGGGGGGGGGAGGGCACGTGTGTGAGAGTGTACGGCTTTTGTTTGCGTCGGTCACTCTGCATCCATCCCGCTATCTTGGGGGGGTGCAGGTGCCTTGTGTGGTAGCATGGTACGTGGGGGCTGGTTATACAACCTCTGCATAAGTGTGTACATGTTTAACTTGGCAACTATTCAACCTCATATGCAAAACATCAATATAACATCAGAAAGAAATGCATTTTCATTACATTCGTGTCATTTACAAAAAGCTTAACGTGGTATCTATACATGTTGAGGCGTGCGAGAGCACCCAGCCGGGCGCAGCTTGTATCTAGGTTTCCCCTGTGAGTGGGCTATGGTGTTGAGTCTTGGCCGGCCCCGTTGTGTGTAGTGTTGTATATGCTCGGTATCTGCGGTCTGCGGTTTGTCTGTCTGGGTGCCCTATGGTGCCTCCCTGTCTTGGTCAGGTCCCTAGTAGTGTCGTTGCTTTCGGTCTGGACCCTCCCGATTCCCTGTTGGGCTTGTCTCTGGTGCCGGAGCTGGGGTGTCCACTGTGTCCGTCTCATGTGTATGTCACTTCCCCGTGGGCGTCTCATAGCCCTTCAGCGGTGACGCTCTAAAGAGTGTGGGTAGTTGGGTGGGGGCCCTTCCCCGACTCTGGGCGTGGTTGTCGGCGTATGTGTTGCAGCTGGGGTACTGCGTCTGCCCGCTGCGGGGTACTTCGTCCGAACACTGTGGTCTGGGGCTTCTGGAAGTTGTTGGGTGGGGCTGCATCCGGTGGTTTGCAGTCCGTTAGGGTCGGGTGGTCAGTGAGGTATACAAGTCCGATGGTTTAGACCCCTGGTCCCCTTTTGCTGTTTGACGTGTAGCTGGGGTGGATGGTGGGAATGGTGGTTAGGCCGCCCCCCAGCCGTCTGCCCTGGTGGTCCGGTCGCCCGGCGTGCCTAAGCGTGTCTCTAGTCAGCTGCGGTCCGGGAGTGTGTGGGTCCGTCCCTAGAGTTGGGGCTGAGTCCTCTTCAGGTCGTTGGTTGTCCTGTGGCCCGTCTGGGACATGTGAGCGAGGGTCAGTGTGTGCGTCCCCTGGTGTCGCTTTGGTGTGGTGTGGGTCCGGTTCTGTAGGGTGTGTTTAGTCCGTCTGCGTCCTGTCTGGGCCTGTCTCTGGGGGTGGTATGGACCCCAGGGGTGGCTATCACCGAGGGGTCTCTGGTCCCAGGTCTAACGGGTATTGAGCCTGGGATGCCTGTCTGTTCCGGGCCCGCTATTCGGGTGCTTGGTGGGGTGTCCCCCTGAGTTGCGCAAGGCCGTCGTGTGGGGGTGTTGCTCCGTGGTTCTTCCCTGGGGTACCCCCCCGTGTAGCCCCCTTTCAGTCGGACAGTCTACTCGGCCCCTTGCCGGGGTGTCTACGTTCTCCCTAAACTGTATGGTCCGTCAGGTGGGGGTTCAACGTGTGTAGTGGTGGGGTGTGACTGTGAAACCCGTCTGAGGGCCGGGCACTGCCAGGTGTGGTCGGCCCCCCCAGGTGGCGATGGGCCCCTTTGCTGTGTCCTTAGTCTTGTCTGTGAGGCGTGACATGTTCCTTGGGGTCTTAAACGCCCCCCCTCCCCCTCCCGGCTTCATAATGCGCTCCTTGATATGGTAAAAGTGGAGTCGCACTATCACGTCCCTTGGGGTGGCTGTGTTGGTGCTAGGAGCTCTCAGTGCCCGGTGTGCCCGGTCCATGAGCAAGTCGGTGGTGGAGGCTTCTGGCAGGAGATTCTGGAACACTTCTGTGAGGGTGGCGGTGAGCAGCTCCGTGGAGATGGTCTCCGGTATGCCCCTCACCCTAATGTTATTCCTTCTGGTCCTGTTGTTGAGGTCCTCGTTGGAGTCCTCTAGGGAGCGCAGTTGCTCGCGGAGGTCTTGTAGCTCCCCGCCATGCGCCTGCACGGTCTCCAATGCCTCCGCCATTTTTGTTTTAGTGGCATGCGTTCGGGCCGTCAGATCTGCCATCCCCTCCATGATCGGCCCCAGCTTCTTTTCCAGCTCTTCTGCCACCGATTTGCGGATGTCGGCAAGGAACCCTTTCATGTCCCGCCGTGTCAGTGGGGCTTCCGCCCGGTCCGAGACTGTGTGGCTGCTCATCTCGGAGTCAGTGTCGGACGGGGAGTGTGGCGAAGATGGCGCCTGGGCCTTCGCGGCCTTTTGCTGAAAAATTGGCGCGACCGCCGAGTTGCGGGTTTTCTTGCCGCCGCCCATGTAGAGGTGAGCGGGGGTCTTGGGATGGGTGTCCGGGCGGTTTGGGGGTGTCGGGGGGGCTCGGGTGCGTTAGGTGGCTGTAGAGAACTGCGAGGCTGAGGCAGAGCTCGTGGATTACGCGGCCATTTCCCTGCTCAGCCAAGCTCCGCCTCACCTTATCTCCATTTTTAAACTCCTGTATGTAAGTGTAAATCAGTGACTATACACTTTGGTGATTTTTTTTGTATGCTGCACTGGGTTTACCTGTGATATTTTACTCATCTTTAGCGCCACCCTTTTCCTTGCTTTTTGTCTGATATATATATATATATATATATATATACATACAACAGCACCCCCTCACACACACACACTGTACCCATCACACACATACTGCACCCCTAAACAAATTACATTTCAGAAACACACTAGATCCCTTACCCAACTCTGGATTATCTACACACACTAGATTTCATATATACACTCTGAATCCGCTATATACACACACTTACTAGATCTCCTATACATATTCTGGGTCCTTCAAACACACACTAGACCCCTATACACACCCACTACATATACCGAAATATAAAGAAGCCATAGTAGTGGTATCAGAGGGGGAAAAGCCAGGTCTCAGTGAGTGCTAGTAGTGTGAGGGAATTAGAGATGAAGAGGTCGTTTAGCATGTTATATAAATCGTTTATTTTCATTTCTAATAGCCTAATATTTCTAAATCAGTTGATCCAGCCTGTTTCTCATAATGTCTTTTTGTCTCATCTCTGACTATTTCTCCTACTTATATTTTATAAAAATGTGCAGTTTATCTGAAAGCCCTGTCAATGCTTTAATTGTCAGTATTCGTTATGCTTGTGATTGCTGTTGTGGGGCTTATCAAGCTTTTTTTTTATTCTTTGCACATAATAAATAAAGATTGACAAAAAAAAAAGAATGCACAACTAATCTGTTCATTGATAACATACTGATTACTCTGCCGCAGCCTCACATATCCCTCCCAAACCATTTGGCCACTATTGAAATGTATGGGAAATATTCCTATAACAAACTGAACCCATCCAAACACAGGCGATGGGTACAGGGATCCCTTTGGACCAAATGGACGTGCTAAGAATTTCTTTCATTTTTGACTGGAGACTAGATTATCTCACGTTTCTAGGAATCAAGCCTCCATCACTAACATGTTGCAAGCCTCCATCAATAATACGTTGTGAAAATGGTATTGCTTCCTAAATTCCAATATCTGTTACGTGCATTGCCGATATCACTGGCCAAAATCTTCCTCAATACATTATAAATAATTTTTGTTAGGTTTGTTTGGAATAATCACAAGACTAAAGTTGCGACCACCAGTCCCATACCTCCCAAACTCACGTGGGAGGGAGGTATGGGACTCTCTGATGTTAAACATTATTACAAAGCAGCCGGAGTGACAGCTGTCATAACAATCCAAGCTACCATAGACATACCCCAATAGACGAACATAGAGTCCAACTGGGCAGGGACGCAGAATCTACGACCCCTAATATGGCTTCCTGATGCGAAACGTGCCCTTTCGCAGACTACCCTCCCCACCACGATCTTCACAATTCGAATGTGGGACTCGATTTGTGTCTCCCTGTGCATGGTCGGACCATTCTCATTGGCCATGCAAAGTATAAGTCTTTGTGTACAGACATTTGATCACCGGCCATTAGTCTCACTTGGCTTCATTCATCAACACCAACTGTATGATAACAATCAAAGCCTGCCTTTTCCAGAACTACGAACTAAATTTAACATCCCAAGCAGTGGTGTATCTTGGATTTGTGCTGCCCTAGGCATGACTACACCCTGGTCCAAATTATTATGCAAATTTTAGTTAAGTGTTACAAAGATTAAATGTTTTGTTTTTCAGTTTAACTCATGGATGGCATTGTGTCTCACGGCTCTTTTGATCACTGAAAACAATCTCGGACACCTGTGATAATTAGATTGCCAGGTGAGCCCAATTTAAGGAAACATTACTAAAGGAGGGTGTTCCACATTATTAAGCAGAGCACCATTTTCATGCAATATGGGGAAGAAAAAGGATCTCTCTGCTGCCGAAAAGAGTGAAATAGTTCAATGCCTTGGACGAGGTATGAAAACATTAGATATTTCACGAAAACTTAAGCGTGATCATCGCACTATTAAGAGATTTGTGGCTGATTCAGAGCACAGACGGGTTTGTGCAGATAAAGGCACATTGAGGAAGATTTCTGCCAGATCCATGCATTGGATCAAGAGAGCAGCTGCTAAAATACCATTACATAGCAGCAAACAGATATTTGAAGCTGCTGGTGCCTCTGGAGTCCCACGGACATCAAGGTGTAGAGTCCTCCAGAGTCTTGCAACTGTGCATAAACCTTCTATTCGGCCACCACTAACCAATGCTCACAAGCAAAAACGGCTGCATTGGGCAGAAAAATACATAATTTTCAAACAGTCCTGTTCACTGATGAGTGCCGTGCAACCCTGGATGGTCCAGATGGATGGAGTAGTGGATGGTTGGTGGACGGCCACCCTGTTCCAACAAGGCTGTGACGTCAGAAACGTGGTGGTGGAGTCATGTTTTGGGCCAGAATCATGGGAAGAGAGCTGGTCGGCCCCTTTAGGGTCCCCGAAGGTGTAAAGATGACCTCTGCAAAGTATGTGGAGTTTCTGACTGACCACTTTCTTCCCTGGTACAGAAGGAAGAACTATGCTTTCCATAATAAAATCATCTTCATGCATGACAATGCACCATCTCATGCTGCAAAGAATACCTCTACACCAATTGCTACTATGGGGATAAAAGGAGAGAAAGACATGGTGTGGCCTCCATCCTCCCCTGACCTCAATCCTATTGAGAACCTTTGGAGCATCCTCAAGCAAAAGATCTATGAGGGTGGGAGGCAGTTTACATCCAAACAGCAGCTCTGGTAGGCTTTTCTGACATCTTGCAAACAAATTCAAGCAGAAACTGTCCAAAAACTCACAAGTTCAATGGATGCAAGACTTGTGAAGCTGCTATCAAATAAGGGGTCCTATGTTAAAATGTAATGTGACCTGTTAAAATGTTTAAAAAGTTAAAATGTTGTTATAAGTTTGATTAAAATAGCTTTTGATTTCAGTAAACATGCTGCAAACAACAAATGACAATTTTCAGTTCTTTACAACCTATAAAGTGATTTTTTTTTAAATTCTTTATTTTAGTTGTGCATATGATTATAACAGTCGCTTGTGAGGTACCCCAAAGGCAGTCCTCTAGCGCATGATAAACAATTTAAACATTGGGGTAGACATTGGATCTAGCACATTTTTTAAGTTAGTAATGTTATGAACAGTATATATTTACGTTGCTTAAGCATGTCAAAACATAACACGGAGCAACATCGCTTGTATCTTTCTAGATAGTTGGGTGTTACGCTATGTCATAAGCTAGTCAAACATAAAATAATTATACTAAGCTTACATGAGCAAGATTAAAGTAACAGTATATAATTAGGAGTTTGCAGGCTATAATCACAAACGTATTTGGTCACTGATAGTTACGGATCTAGTTCACTGCACTGTTTATAAAATACACTTTAACATCGAAATATACATGCTTGTGAAACGTGTGGTAGGTGCTAATATGTTGCTAGACATAGGCTAAAACATACCAAGGTAGGCTAGAATGAGGCTTTCAAGCATTGCCACATTTGTTTTGTTAAAGTCATGTTTGTGACCCTTTTCTAGCCTGAGAGAGGGAAGGTCTATTACTTATTCCTTGGTGGTGGAGGGTGCCCTTACGCCTGTATACATTTAAACATAGTAAGCCTATCAAACTTTGATAATGGGTAGTTTGCTGAGGGTATGCACCGGAAAAAGCAAGCAGATAAGAGTCATGGAAAATGGGGGTAATACCGCTGGGTGATAGTGGGTTGATATGTATAAATGGCTCTAGACCTCGAGGCTGACAGTTTGTGAGTCTTCAGCCCACGCCAGTCAGGCAAGGTCCCGGTGCCCCTATAGAGTGTTCAGTAGTCGAGGTTCCCCCTCCCGTGGGCCGCGGAGGGACTCTCCGCCTGCGTCTCCCGCCAGTATCCAGCTTTGCTGTCTTCCGGTCAGCGTCGCGGCAAGCACTGTGAGTTGTCAATTGTGGAGTTGCGCCCTGCTGGATGAGGGTAGTTGGGGCAGATGAGGTGCGGGCGGGTCGGGCATGTCGATGGGACCATCCCCAAGGCGCGGGAGCACGAGTGCTGGTGCCCACGATACCTGGTGCTGTTTCCTTCCGTGCTGGCCCCCGGCTCTGCCGGGGAGGTTCCCTGGAGGTACGAGAGGCATACCCGCTCAAACGGCGTTGGACTGCCGGGCGGATCCATGCCGCCGCCGTTCTTATCGCCATCTTAAAGGTTCGTCTCTGGGCATGGAGCTTTGTCCAAAGGCTGGTGTAGATCCGCTCATAGAACTTCTGTGATTGCTTAGGTGGCTTGATTAGTGTGCGTTTTGTGGTAGGCTGGTTCCGTGTCGCCATTTTGTTTGGGCCTGGACAGTTCCATGTTGCCTCATGTTTTGTGCGCTTGGTGTCCGCCATTATTCCCTGCTCTTGTGCTGCAGGCTTGCTGTGTGGGTTCATCGCTTGTCTCCTGGGAAGCCAGGCTTTCTCCCAGGTTTGGATCAGGATAACCCCCACCGATCCGGGCGTTATGCCTCCTGTGCTGCTAGCGAGAGGACGGAGAAAGCGGCCGTCTCTCCCCGGTTCCCGCAGGCCACATTCATGCATCGTTGGGCTCCGTGCACCGATTCTCTCAAGACAGGTATCCGGTTGTTCAGTGGGGCACACTGAGCTCAGGTAGGGTCGTCTTGTGTAGATGGGAGCTTTTTTGCTGATTATTAAGCGGTTTCCAGTTTTAGCTGCGGGAGCTCTGCAACCATGTGTGTGGTCAGGATGCTGGTCAGGCTCCGCCCCCCCTATAAAGTGTTTTTAAACTTACTGTGCGTAATAATTTGGAACAGTGCATTGTAAGTTTTTTATGTTTAAAAAAAAAAAACCTCCTGTTATCATTAGGTTTGTTCAATAAAATTTGAATTGTACTCTTAATAGTTGATAACATGAGAATTATGCTGACTGTTATTTACACCAATTAATTAGGTAAATGAGAAAAATATCATTTGCATAATAATTTGGAACAGGGTGTAAATTCAGGTACCCCCTAATCTAAATTTGCCCCACCACTTCGTGTCAAGGCCACTTTTTTGACTGACAGACGCACGCCCTCATTGACACATGCACTGACATACACTCACTGACAGATACACAGTCATTGGTGCCAGGGGTGGGCTGGGCTGGAGGACAGGCAGGCAATTGCCCCCCAGGCCGCCCTAAATCATTTGGCCAAAAATGGCCACTGCAGGGCTGTACATTGGCGGATGCATGGGTTGCACTGCGCCCAGGCTCCAGGAATTGGGGGGCGGCAGGCGGAGCAGGCTGAGGGTCCATACTGTTGTTAAGATGGCACTGGTGTCTGCCAGTAAGTGTGTGTCTGTCAGTGAGTGTGTGTGTGTGTCAGTAAGTGTGTGTGTGTAAGTGTATGTGTCTATTAATAAGTGTGTCATTGAGTCTGTATCTGTCAATGTTTGTGTGTCTGTCTGTGAGTATGTGTGTCAGCGAGTGTGTCTGTCAAGTAAGTGATTGTTTGTCAGTGAATGTGTGCTTCTGCCTGTCAGTGTGTGTCTGCCTGTCAGTGTGTGACAGTGTGCCTGTCACTGTCGCCACCGGTCTACACTTTGAGCCAGCTGAATATCTCGGGAGGGCACAACTGTGGCCAGCTGTCCACCTCTTGCCCCCCCCCCCAAAGACATGAGGCAAACAAGGCACTTGCCTGGGCACTTAGGGCAGAGTTTTTTGCCACCCCCCTGAAAGTGCCGCCATTGGCAAATGCCTTGTTTGCCTTGCGCAAAATACAGCCCTGATCCCAAGTAGATAGCCCTCCCATATATCCAACTAAAATCATACTATATTTATTTCACTTAATATTTATTCTTGATGAAAGTCCCAGATGGGGACTGAAACCTTGATCAAATCTTAGAGATTGTAATAGTTTTATATAAAAACACCTCACCTAGGCAAAAAATGATGGGGGTTTAGTTACATTATATGATCATATATTGCATACGCCTGCCACAACGTCAATATACCCCATTCTTGGAAGGTCCTACTCTGGCAGCCTAATGTTTGCTCTTATGAGATTAATCCACTTACTTGGGAAATACTTCCTTAATGGGACTCTCTGCAATTCAAGGCATGTAACTAAACCCCCATCATTTTTTGCCTAGGTGAGGTGTTTTTAAATAAAACTATTACAATCTCTAAGATTTGAAATCATTGTTTAGTGAACAAGCGAGTGCGCTGGATTCTGTATTTTGTATATTTTGGCCCCAGCATCACCCTATAATGTATGCATTTTCAGGTGAGTGCAGCCCTCTTGGTTTTATATATATATATATATATATATATATAATTGCTTTTTTTCTACTTCAAAATATTGGTCGTTTCAAGGTTAAAAAAATAAATTATACACAGTAAGCAGACACAGACAATCTCACTGACACAAGCACATTGATACACAGGCTCACAGACAGACAATCTCATTGATACATATAAGCTCCCAGACATGAAAACACAAGCTTACAGATAGGCTCACTGCCAGACAATCTCACTGACACACACAGACAAGCTTACTGTTACACACACAAAAGCTTACTACAGAAAAAAACATTGGTATACAAACAGAAGCTAACTAAAGACAAGCTTATTGTCACACATGCTCACCGACACACATACACATGCTCAAAACAGACAAGCTCACTGGCACACACATGCTCACTACAGACAAGCTCACTGACACACATGCTCACTACAGAAAAGCTAACTGACACACACAAGCTCACTAGACAAGATCAGTGACACCATACACTTACTATAGACAAGCTCATTGACATATACAAGCTCACTTACACACAAACTCACTTACAGAAAAGCTCACTTACAGACACATATGCTTCATACAGAAAAGTTCACTGACACACAAATGCCGACTACAGACAAGCTCACTGTCACACACATGCTCACTAAAAAACAAGCTCACTGACACACACAAACTCACTACAGACAAGCTCCCTGACACACACATGCTAAGTACAGACAAACTCACTTACTCACGCAAGCTCACTACAGACAAGCTCACTGACACACCCAGGCTCACTACAGACAAGCTCACTGTCACAAACATGCTCACTGACACACTCAAACGCACTACAGACAAGCTCTGGGACACACACAAGCTCGCTATAGACAAGTTTATTTACACACACATGCTCCCTACAGACAAGCTCACTGACACACAAGCTCACTTACACACGCATGCTCACTACAGACAAGCTCACTGACACAAATGCTAACTACAGACAAGCTCACCGACACATGCATGCTCAGGCACATACATTCTCAAAATCACTGTGATGGGCTGAAGCCTACCTGGCATTGAACACTGTGGGGGCTATTTCCTGCCCTCTTCCTGCAAGCGAGGTCAGCAGCTTGAGTGCGGGGGCAGAGCTTGCGTGTGTGGGTGGAGCAAGTGTGTGAGAGGCAGTCTTTGAATGCAGAAGTGGCCCGAATTGCTGAAAATTGCTAAATGCGGCCGCATGAGCCCCCAGCACCTCCCTCCTTAATTCTCTTGGACTGACACAGGCTGTCACAGTCTGAGGGGAAAAAGATTAGGGCTGGCTGCCTGGCTGCACCTGAGCACAACACATCCTGTGCAACACATTTAGAAGTTATCATGAATCTCCAATATTACTGGTACTACGTCACCGTGAGACTCACATGTTTACGAATGCATCCAACAGGTTTTGGAATCACAAAGCATCATGGGAGTTGTAGTTCTACAACATCTGGGGATCTACCTTTTGGGCACCCCTGGTATACATCATTTGAATATACATGATATGTGTACAGAGATTAGTCACATTAGAGATTCTTATTGTGCTTGTAAAAGTTAGTGATAGAGAGAAAAAGTGAATACAAATACAGAAAGATAAGTCCTGCGCTCACTCCCATCACTTCTGGGCGGCAGCAACGACTACAGTACACATCAGCCACAATATATATAGTAAAAACCAAAGAAAAATAACTTATCTGCGCTCTCTCCTTAATCCCTATGTATATTTAAACAAATGGAGGTCATTTAGTTACTCCAATGGCCATTGGAGGGAATGCCCGCCTGCCAACGTCAAGGCATACCCCCCTAAGCGGGTCCTACACTGACCCTTCACCTTGCTTCCTTGAGCTTCTGGCAAGAGAGAAAATAGAGAAAATGTAACTTTTATTCAAATCATCAAACAGTAACTAATATCAGTTCTCACTAAAGTGTTTACAAGCCCAAAATATAAAAAAGTGTGTAACTGTTACACTTTAGTGCTGCTAATAAAAAATAAAATAGGATGTGCAAGATATTATTAGGTAAATCGACCAAACAAACAAGGGGACTTTAATGTTTGTGATGTTTGAGACTCCAGTTTCTCATAGTACATGTACATGTAAGGAGAAAGCATAGTATTATTATAGTACAGTATGGTTATACAATTCCTCAAACACAGACACACACAATAAGTGAGCAGACTTAGTGGTGCTCTCACCATAGAAATATTAATTGAGTACTCCAGTCACAGCAATCTCCAACAGTATACGCATAAGGAGCAAAAAAATGAGAATATCAGAGAATTAAAAGCAAGTAACCTTTATTAAAACAAAAAGACAGTAAATGCTTACTGTGATGGTTTCTGCAGGGTGTTTTTCTTAAAACAGGGTAGATATTGAGTTTTGTGGTCACCTTTACTGCAGAGGTTCTGTGACGTTTGGGCACACTGCTTGTTTGAGGGTCCCTATCGTTCAGTTTCAGCTTTTATCCACTATTCTTCTTTGCCAGTTCCACACTGTTTAACCTCGCAAATGCTCTACTTCAGGGGGGTGAGGTCAAAGTGACGTATCAGCTTCTTCAAATTGCATAGGACACTCCTCACTACCTCTCTTGCTCCAGACTGCAAACTGCTTTCCAGCAGCCAAAGGCCCTGTCATGTCACTGCAATCATGTGACAGTAGAGATCAGGGCGGGAGACTCAAATCAATGGGAATGTGCCTACTGACTATGTAGGGCCTTTCCATAGTGTGTCTAGGACCATCCACACAGACTTCCTGGAATTTCATGTCTAAACAAAGACATTTCACTTACATTTTCTGACAAGTTCAAAAGTTGCCACACCGCCTCTGATTGCCATGGCTCCTTTGGAGCAGTTTTTTTTGGCATTCTCTCTTCAAAGATTATTTTTATTATGCCAGCCATGTTTTCTGGTGAAACGTATTTCACCATCATGTCAAGGAAACTTGGATGTTTCCTGAAATTCTTGAGCAGGATGAGTCCATGCTGTCTGACTTCTGGAATAGGATCTTCAACTAGAGTGGAAAGGACTGGCAGAGCCTTTTTCTTGACATTCCAAGCACTCCACAGAATTTGACTTGCTCCCATTTGCTCCACCGACAGGCGAAAAAATTTGGCAGCACATTCCCTTACTGCACTGTTGGTGTTTGTAAGTGCAATAGTGGGGAAATTAGCCAGCACACATTCAGGTGTCAAAAACTCGAGTGCTGTGGAAAGGGCCTTGTCCACTTTCCTCATTATAGTGCTGGTTGATTTTCCAGCTTTCAGCAGCAGCCCCAAGAGACACTCATCCTGGTCATCTAGCATGCTGCTTTTCAGCTGGCTGAACAAGCTCTCCATGCAGTTGATTGCAGCCACAGAGACATCCAGCCTTATGGCAGATAATTCCTTATTCACAGCTACTTTGATATCCTTTAGATTAGAATTTAGCAGCTGTGGTTTTGTTACAGAGAGTTTTTGAATGATATTAAGGCCTTCAATCTTCTGATGCCCTTCATCGCTAGAAACCAATTTAAATGCCTGTAAAAGGGAGGTATTTCTAGGTGGAGGCTGTGATGACTGTTCCAGCATCTTAAATTTTTGGAAATTGGAATAAGGGGCTGTCCGTTTCGTGGGCTCCTTTGGAGGTGAAGGCTTATAGTCACCAGTAGTAATGGAGACCCTGCTCTCCTTGGACGGTGGCATGGGATCCTTAGTGAGTTTCAAGCGGACGTTTCCTGCTTGACTTCCATTTTGAATCCCTTTCACCTTGAAATTTCTCAGTTTTCGCATCTGATGGTTTGATGCCAGTGGCGGCAAGGGTTGGTGCAAAGGTTCTCTGCAGATCTTGTTATTGGTGGTGGAACCTTTCATATAGTCTTTGCCCAGAGAGGGATGCATGCTCCTACGCACAGAGGACTGGTCTACCTTTGTCCTAACCTGCCTAGTATAGTCCTGAGAGCAAGAGCCCATTGGCTTTAATTTCAGAAGGTCGTCCTTTTTCATATTTAGGAATAAATTCCTTTAACGCTTTCAATAAAAGATAAAATATAGTCATAATAGTTTTCAGACTCAAAAGTCAATCTCTTCTCTAGCTTGGCGAGCCAAACTGTGAGCACTCTGTGCATCACCAGGCAGTAATGCTCTAATCCTTTGTGATGTAATAGAATATTAACCACTACCAGTGAGGCTGGCATCATATGAAAACCTGCATAAATGCAAATAATACCTATTGCAGGACTATTTAAACACAATTACAACTGTATAAATCTATTAGAAATAAAAACAAAATCTGTGTTCTCTGTTCAGTGTTATACCCAGCGCCATGCTAAAAAGCCACCAAACTGACATGGTTATTCACTCAAATGTGAACTATTATACTAGTGAGTTAGTAGGCTATTCCCCAAAGGATTATTTCAAATGACAGAATAGAATTGAAAAGGCTGTGCCAAAATACTGGTATCACACTATATAATATTATAGAAATATTAACCAAAAATTATCAAAATATAATTTTTTTTAAAAAGGCAAGGTATAGAAGGGGTATAAACCATAAGCACCGGTAAATATAATCACAGCACCTGCACCAGGACCAAACGCATGCTGTACATTGTTTTTTTATTTTATAATCTGTTGATTTATTTCTTATAAAGGACTATACATTATACACTTGTACACAATACAATTGAGCACTAGAACTTACATTCCATATTGTTGTCAGTGACCATGGTAAAGTTGACAGTGAATTTCTATTAATAAAAAAATAAATTTTCCCTTGATATAGAAACTGAGTATTAAAGGAACACTATAGTCACCTAAATTACTTTAGCTAAATAAAGCAGTTTTAGTGTATAGATCATTCCCCTGCAATTTCACTGCTCAATTCACTGTCATTTAGGAGTTAAATCACTTTGTTTCTGTTTATGCAGCCCTAGCCACACCTCCCCTGGCTATGATTGACAGAGCCTGCATGAAAAAAAAACTGGTTTCACTTTTAAACAGATGTAATTTACCTTAAATAATTGTATCTCAATCTCTAAATTGAACTTTAATCACATACAGGAGGCTCTTGCAGGGTCTAGCAAGCTATTAACATAGCAGGGGATAAGAAAATCTTAATTAAACAGAACTTGCAATAAAGAAAGCCTAAATAGTGCTCTCTTTACAGGAAGTGTTTATGGAAGGCTGTGCAAGTCACATGCAGGGAGGTGTGACCAAGGTTCACACACTAGCTTTTTTTTTCCAATGTCTGGCAATAACTAGATTGGCAGCAGTTAAAACATGGGTAATTATTATTTTCTCACATTTGGTTTTCTGTGGCCATTTAACTTGAAGTAAAAATGGTGAGAATGGTAACTTAGATTTGATTTGTTTCCCCAGTTGGTTATTTAATCCCCCCCTCCCCCCAAATTTCTGTATATTTGCACACCTTCACTAGATATGACAATAATTTGCATTAGGCATAGCTCATCTCTAGCATGATGATTTTTTTTATTTTTGCTAGCCTCCTAGGGGTTAAATATCATCTGTTAATGGCCTTAAAGTGGTTCTCTATAATGTTCGAACAGTGTACTGAGAAAGTTAAGTTTTTGAGTGAATTTATTAGGTCAGATTCTGTTAGGGTAACATTTAAGGCTTTCTCCCATTTACTGTGTAGGTTCCTGTCTATTTTTGGGTCTAAGGATCTTTTAATATTTTTAGCTTTTGAGATCATCCCTTTATCCGTGTTCTGTGTCATAATATTAGCTAGGTATTAAAATTAGCTAATTAAGGTATTGTTGCCTTGATGGAGCTTTTTGTCCAGGGGAAGTTTTTATGTTCTTATATGTATATAAATCTTTTAACACCCCTATTCCTTTTTGGTTCCCATTGGTTTATACATGTCTTGCATGTTTGTCACCTGGGACTGTATTGGGAAATAGTTAGGGACCTTATTTTGTTTTTCCATCTTGTACTTTATATTATACCAAAATTGAATCAACTGTTGGATCATCATAGAGAATACTTCTTGGTCCCCCTTGGTCCGTGTGTATTAACCATGGGATAATATTCTTTAATCTATTTGCCAAAATGGATGAGAACATTTTTATTTCTTTATTTAAAAGTGAAATAGATTGGTAGTTAGTTATGTGATTGAGATTTTTATCTGGTTTTAACAGTGGAATCGTGTTGGCAAACAGCATTTCTTTTGGAAAGTAATTGTTTGCTATAATTTTTAAGTAATTTGCCTGTTAGTTGGTCTTTGAATATCTTCTAAAATAAGGTGGTGTAAACATATGGTCAGGGAGCTTTGTCTTTTTTTAAAATTATCAATAACTTTATTTATTTCTTCTATTTGAATTGGTTGATTTAGGTTATTTATTTTGTCTGCATCCAGTTTTGGAAGTTGTCTGCCGTTTAAATATTATTGTGGTTTATGTGATTCTGTGGTTTATGTGATTCTGTGTTTTGGAAGGTTATATAATGATTGATAGTATTTACTAAAGGCTTTTCCTATCTTTTTAGGTGAATCATAGATTTTAGTTTTTATATCTAAGTTGTGTATTTCCCTGTTGATCTTTTCCCCCCTTAATTTTGAGTTAGTAATTTGTCTGCCTTATTGCCCTTATAGTACCAATTTGTCTTTAAATAGTCTAGATTTTTCGATCTCTGTTCTAAAATGATCTCATTGATTTATTTTTGATCTCCATTATTTGATCTGTTCTAACTTATATAATAACACAAATATATATACATACACATTCCACAAATCTTTGCACTGCAGGCTAGAAGTTCCAATAGGTTAAATGCTGGGTGCCAGGTCCAGGTCATTCATATACAATTGTATGCCAATTGATGATCCGCACTCTCAGACTCCAATTAAAATGTAACTTTTATTCCTTACAATAAAAGAAAAATAAAGGTGCCATAAATCGTCAACGTTTCAGTCCCAGGTCGGGACTTTCCTCAGGACAGGTATTCTGTATATATAATATAACATATATAATTCTGTTAAGGGGAGAACTCTTTTCTTTTTTTAAAATTAGGCCTATTTTGATGAGATGTCCTCTCACGATATTCTTCATGGTGCACCATACTATAGGGAAGAACACTTCCTTATCTTTGTTTTCCCTAAAAGAAAGATCTATCTCTTTCCCTATTTGCTCCCTATTTTGCTTATCTTATATAATGTTGTTATTTAGTCTCCACTTATTTATTTTCCCTATTTTTTTCTTGTTTAGAGTATCCATAACTATATAGTAGTGGTCTTACCAGGTAGTCTCTTTAATGGAAATCTTATTAACTTTATTTTTCATATTTGGGTTAATAAAAAAGGGTCAATCCTTAAGTATATGAGAAAGGTTCTAGAGAAGCAAGTGTAATCTTTTTCCAATGTACAGTATGTAGTATTTTCCTGATATAATTCAAATTGTATCTGTTTATAGTTTGTTGGAATTGTTTTGCAGATAGATTCACTTGTTTACTATGCAACACCTTCCTAAATCCAGATTAAAAATTCTGTTAAAATCTCCAGCTTTAATTAATTCACCATGTCAGATTTTTTCAAAAATATTTCTGAAACAAATTATTTGAAGAACCATTGGGGGCATATAGGTCTACCAGGGTATATCTAAAGTTCTCAATATCACAGATTAAAATTATGAACCTACTCTCCCTTTCAACCACATGATGTATCCTGTGGATGTCCAGATCCTTGTCTATAAGGACACCTACTCTTCTTTTTTTTTATGTTCCAAAGATGCTGTTATCACTTGCGTATATCTAGCTGGTATGAATATAAGGTTACCTGTTTTTTTTTCCAGTGGGTTTCTTGTAAGAAACAGACGTGAGCATTTTCTTTGTTTTTTAAGGTGTTTAAAAACCATAGTTCTTTTATTAGGGGAATTCAGTCCTTGTGTGTTGATAGTAATAAATCTGACCATCCCTAGCCTACATCTGGAGTCAGTTGGAGAAACTGCACCGATCCCATGCATCTGTAAAAAAAGGACATACATATAAACTTACATAAAAAACATAAAACATGGATTTCCTTGTTATAGGAAATCCAATGTGGCCATGCCATTTATGAGGCACTGAACCTAGACTTTTATCATACAGTCTAAATATGGGAGCTCCCCTACTGACCTTGACGAGAAACTTTCTTAGGAGAAGTTACCTGAGGAGGTTGCGGAGGACAGGAAGAGGGGAAGGAAGGTGGGGGAGAAAGGGAGAGAGGAAGAGGGAGAGAACAAAGGAAGAAAAATGTATTCAATAATTCTCTCCTTTGTCTAAATTCTACATATCTCAGGGACAGTATAGCTTTGTTGTTCCTTATTTTACATCCTGATAATTTACAAATAATGCATTTATAATAAGAACTATGCATTTCTATATTATATATTTATAGTTGTATCCTTTTAAAAGAAAAAAAAGGAAAAATGTAAATCTTCTCTCTCTCGCTCTCTCTCTCTTCCTTCTCTCAGTCCAGATTTACATATCTTAGCAGCTGTACCTCTTCATTATTCCTTATTTTGCATTTTGAATTGTTTATAATTTAGTGAATTTACTACCAATTTATTGCCAAAAAGTTATCAAGCATCCTACATTTCCATACTAAGTACCAATGTTTCCATTTTAGGTGAAAGAAACAAATTAATCACGATGGTTGGGAATTTAGTGACAGGTTTTAGGGGGTAGTTAGTCAGCATGTTATGGCCCACAGATAGGTTACTGCGCGTTAGACCAAAATATAGGTGAAGTAGGAACTCCAACTAGGGGATAATAGTTTAACCAGCAGAGGGTGTGAGTTGTATATCAAGCTGCTTAATCTTAACACCACTGAGGCTTAATGATTGCTCAGATTATTTTAGCATATAATATTAGCAATGTCGTATCATAATAAAGATGGAAGTAAGTAAGTAAAATATAAGTAAGTGAGCGTTAAAATTATCTGTTGGTTGACATGCAGCAAGTATTCAGGTGGGCTATTAAGCGAGTCAGTGTTCCAACTTGTGGAAGGCTTGGGT